AAAGCCCAACACTTCTGGAACGGGCAAAACAACCCCCCCGGCCCCCATTCCTCCATTCGGATTCCAAGGGCGCGCCCCCCAACCCCCAGGCTGAAACACCCCCAATCACCCCCCGCCCCCCACACGGGGGCCCCCCCCCGGCCCCGGGTTGTTCCCCCCCCCCCCTGGGTCGGCGAAGCCCTTGGGGGCTCGGCTTCCTGGGGGGGGGCTTACCTTCTGGGGGGGCCCTTCGGGGCGTCGGGCCTTGGTCGCCGAGCCGGGCATCCCCGCGTCGAGCCGCCCGCGCATAGGAGCCCCGTCCCCGGCAACACGGACAGGCACCACGCCCCCCCCGCCGCGAGGGCCGCGAGCCCGTCCTGTGCGCGAGCAGCGCGTAGCTCCCGCCGCACGCGAGCGTCGACAGCGGCAGCGGCGGCTCTGTGCGCGCGTGCGCCCTCTGCCAGGCGCGCAGCATGAGCGGTGTCGGCAGCTCGAGGAGCCGCGGTGTCAGGATGAGCGAGAGCGAGAGGTTGAGGGCTGCTGCTGTCGTCGACGCGAGGGCCGTCGTCGCGAGGAGCGCCGTCTGCGACTCTTTGGAGAGGTGGAACGACATGGTGCTGTGATTGTTTTGCTTGGTGCTGTGATGATTCGGGAGGTTGACAAGAGCGAGTGATGTGATGCGTGGTGATGGAATGGCTGACTCATGTTGGCAGTTGCACGTGATGAGCAGCCGTCTGGTCCGATGTCAGACTCGTCTCGCCTCTCAATGAGATGCGATGCTGTCTCAGGAAGCCTCATTTTTATCTTCACTATCTCATTTCTGGCGATCGTTTATCCAGAATTGAAAAATGGCCCTGGAGGTTCAATCGCCTAGTCGGATGTCCCCAATCTCAGTAGCTAACCCAGCCAACGTCAAGCACTGCGAATAGTTATGCGAACTTGGTAGGGCAACTCAATGATACAGCAGAATGACAACGGTAGCATCTGCCTCGGCCAGGGCGTTGCTTCTGGCACAAGCCAGGCCTGGAAGGAAACTGTAGCTGATGGGCTGCCTTCATGTCGTCCTCAAACACAGCCCGCGGATAGTAACCAGCGAGATTAACTGACCATGGAATTCAGGCAAACGCCGCCTTCGGTCATGCTCGGCTTAACTTCTATGTCCACCTCGTGCTTCTCCAAAATTGCCCGCGTTGTTCAATCGCCATTAAATCCCTACAGAACAATACCCCGGGTTCAGACGACCCTCTGTCGTCCGAGAACTACATCTTCGATGAGATAGAGAAGTGATCCAACCCGGCACGAATACCAACATAGAGGCCGCCGACGCTTCTGTCCTTCGGTTGCCGAAACGATTATGGAGAGGGCTCGTCCTGCTCCCGGAGGGACTTATCGAGAAAGCCGCACATCTTTTGAACATCCCCATCACAGGCAACCAGACGCCTTTACGGAAGCGCCTTTCGCCGACAAAGCCTGGCGCTAGATGAGACGCGCATCTCATGGTCTGCGCCGAGGGAAAGTCTTGTTGTGAGGCAACGGAGTTGACCGGCGAGAGTAGAATTGCCGGGCGAACCATCATACCATGCCGAAGAAAGGCGAAAAGAAGAAACAGAAAAGAGGCAAAAACAACTAGAACAAAGAAACCCGGAATCGAGGAATGTATCATAACCTTCGCTTGCCTCGCGTTCGGCCATTTGTTAGCTGAGCAGCTGCCGGGCCTCCAATTCTGCATACAGCCTTACCGCTTCCAAGCTGAATCCCATTGAATACTCGCTGCACTTGGAAGAAAAGTGGGCTTTTACGTCCGACTCAGGGATTCCAATAATTCTTTGCAGTCCTCTCCTGATTCCCGCGAAAACTTTTCGAATTCCTCTGAAAAAGAGTCAGATATCCAAGCTGTAGCAGCAATAGGCCGACAAGCAGGAAACCACGTACCCTCAGGAGAGCCGTCAAGCGTCAGAGCATGCCAGTTGAAGGATGTCCAGAGCGTCGCTGGACTCGTATCGCCCGTGGTATGGCGGGGAAGATCCCGAGCAATCTCAACTCGGGGATAGGATACGGTAGCTAGCACATATCAGGAATCGGGCTGAGTGGGATTCAGTGACATGAAAGGTAGGACAGACTGTGGGAAAACTGGCGCAATCCGTGATGGAACACCATAGGAAGCTTCTTTAAATGCTGTGCATTCTTCGTCCCAGTCTGCTGCACGGCTGAAGACTTGATGATGTCTCCGAGCTTCGGTTCGATATAGATGGAAGCTTGGTGCGGCTCACCGATTCGTATCTCGGTTTCGGACGACGATGGAATTCCCTTCTCGTTCTAAGTTATGAACTGCGCCTTCGCTTTAAAGAAAGATCTCGTTTGACAGAGTGGTATGACAATGCGCCTCTGGAGGGCAGGTCTTGAAAGATGAGTGTGAACGTGTGATCGCATCGCGCTGAGCAAGTGGAATCGAGTGTTGAGGAAAGTTTACGGCGCACTGCTGACCGAAATGACGATGGACGCTCGCTGGTTACGTAACCACAGCTGGTGTACTATTACCATTCGGCCACTGTCGATGAAACCGCACGTCTGCCTCAGTTGATCCGACTCGCATCAGGGCCAAAAAAAAGTACCAGGCACCTAAGGCCATGACCGCCCTGAGTGCCGGACGCAAAACACGGACTTGTGGCGTTCACCAGCCAAACCGCAACGAGATGTAGTGCCGGGTACGAGGCCGGTGTTTGAGACGATCGTCGTTCACCCCCGAGCATACAGAGCGAACTGCAATTGAGGCCTTAGTATTGTGTGGTCGACATCTTCGTGTATGATTCGTTTTCCAAGTGCGAGACGAGATGCCTCTGGAAAACTTCTCCATCCGCCTGGCTGTTGTCGCGATTTGTTTTACCGCTGTCTATAATGACCTCCTTCGAAAGTACTGCTCAAGACTCCAACACGGCAACGCGTCTGTCGCAACCGTTCTGAAGTGGACCCTCAGAGGAATACATCTCCCGAGTTCCGCGAAGATGCCTTCCTTGGCGTTCTGTTTGCGCAGTCACCAGCCGGAAACTTGCGACTGAGGCATCCCGAATCTCTAGTTGCCGCCTGGAGCAATGTTCGCGATGCAAAAAGCGGAGCGATAGCTACGTGAGTTACGCATGTTTTGCCCAAAGACCGACCATGGGCCAAGGTGTGAGGCAGAATCTACAGTGGCGTGCACAACACTGACGCCCTTGACATACTACTTAACCCTGGACATCGTTCGGCCATTGGGCGTCTCGCCTGGCTATGATGTACCCATCTTCGACTGGATTCATGGTAGCGGCTGAACGGCTGGCGGCATTACTGACTCTTGATACAACATCTGATATCTCGTCAACTCGTCGGTGGCCATCGACAAGCCCTTTTTCGCTGTCTATCAACTGTAGGTTGGGTTGACCGTTGCGGAACAGTCAGCGGGCAAGTTTAGCGTTGGCCATCATCTCGTCGGCTTTGACGAGAAGTTTGAGGCTGCCATCATGCAGAGCGGCACAGCGCTTGGTCTTGGCCATCCATTAACCTCCGGCCCGGTCACTATCTTGTAGTACTCACCATCAGTCAACACGATCGACCAGCTCAACTCGACTTACCAGCCCATCTACGACAATGCCATCAATACAGTTGGCTGCTCTCGTGCAGAGATATACTGCAATGCTTGCGCGAAGCTCCGTTCGAGAAGCTTCGAGAGGCTTTTGCCCCATTCGTGATGACCCTGACATTTGATGGCGGGCTTCTCTCTCGACTCCTTTCCGAGTCCATCTGTACCCCGATGCTCCGGCTCTCGGTTTTCCCTTTGTGACGAGTTCGAAGCGATTCGCCCAGCAAGGCTACCATTACAAGAGTGGAACAGCCCTAGTGGGAGATCAGGACATGCACAGCGGCTCTGCTTGACGACTGAGTACCATGCATCCCTCCCCATTGAAAGGAGGAATGCCGTGTACTCGTATCGATTCGACCAGGGAACTTGGGACAACAAGCTCGAGTTGATTGCTTCCGAGGAGCCTGTCGCTGCGACACACCATGTGGAAATCTGCTTCGTATCCAACTCGATCCGGTTCTCAGCCGCAAGAAAGGAAATTGTTTCGGACCGTGTCCGAATTGTCAAAAGCTGGCTGAAGTCATGGTACGGTCGTGAACGTTTTTCGTCCATCATCTTGATCCCAATCACGATGTCGGTCGACGCAGTGTGGTCTGGCCTGGCTACGGATATCAGCAGGAGAATGTGGTGTTCAAGGCAGCAGGAAAACACGTTGAGAGGGATACCTGGAGGGGCATGCAGGTGAATACTGGGCTGGCATCTGGGGCGTGTTGAAGATGTGAGCGGCGTGCTCGTCGGGATCGGTTGCCTGCTCCAAGATGTGGTGGTCACTAGATAGAAGGCGACGTTTGCCAGAAGAAGGTGCCTAGCTACCCCCGTGCCTGCCTTAGAAGCTCAGGCCTGGCCTACCTGTGCCGTGGCTGGAAAGGAAGGGAGTGGCTGAACGGCATCGAGGCCGGCCCCACACGGCGAATAGCAAGCCGAGGTGCGACCTCCAACCGGGATTCCGGAGCGGCCTGACCAACGAGCCCCGATACTACTGATGACTTTTCAGCTATAAAAGGTTTCTGTATAAGACAATTCATTATGGACGGTCATGCATCTGAATCAAGGTGAAAATACGTCATTTGAATGTCAGTGTGCCCCTCGCTTCTCCATACCATGGATGAAAGCAAAGTAAGATGGCCAGGGGCTGCTATTACATCCCTCTTCATCGACCCATTCCTTGCCTTGAGCGCTCCGTTGGCTCATAGAGTAGATTAACCGCATCATAAAGAGCTATCAACTCCTCAGTACACGTACAAGTTGATCGCGCCGGGATCCCGCTCCCTCAGCTTCTTGTTTTGGTGCTGGAGTGACACCCGCATAACCCACGCGCAAATGATAACTCCGAAGGAGAACCCGATACTTGCTAGCATTGCAGTCAAGTACCGGGGTTCGTCTTTACTGGGCCACAGGTAAGGCGTATAGACGCTGGCCAGATTACCCATGGTATTGCACATGGCGATGGCGACGGCCTTCTTCTCGTCCGTCTGGCCAACGACACTGGCCGTCCAACCGAGAATGTTATTCATGTAGTGCTCGATATAGAGAACTTACCTTTTCTACCCTTGTGCTTATCTCATGTACACTACTATGTACTATATGAGGCTGGGTGCATGTATCTCAAAAGTACTGTTAATAGTCGCTGCCTACCAGTCGTCTTTCATATCGATGTCTCCTTTCTTCCAACTGAACATTCAGAAAGGATTATTGCCATTTTGGTACAAAGGTCTTAACATGAAGGTGCCCTTTGCTGGCTAATTTCGACAAACAAAAACAGCAACCTCCCGTTTCTGCCCCTCTTACCCCCATTGCCCCGCCGTTCCCTCTGATTATGACAACATTCGTTGAACTTCCGTTTCTCATTGACCATTGCCACAAGCCTCTCCATATTTCTCCCCACTTTTGGCCAGGAGGCTGTCAGAGATTTGGACCACCATGCGACAAGCTCAGGCAGAACTTATCTCGACGTTGATCTTCCATCGATTATTGCCTCCTTCGCCGAGCCAAAGCCTCACCACCCTCTTCCGCGCTTGTGGCCTGAAGGCTGCCGGAGATCTGAGCCACCCACGCGACAAGCTTAGGCAGGAAGGATACTTAGTACTGCAAGATCCACTTCTCTCTCTGTACGGAGACTAATGAATGTCAGTCTCCCTTCACCTGCCCTGCCCAGAGTTCCCAACAGCCCCCTCTTTCCTACACTTCCTTCTTCCCTTGAGTACCGATATAGGGTCCTGGTTATCGCCCACATCGCTCTCCTACACTTCCCTCTTCCCTTGAGTACCGATATAGGATGCTGGTTATCGTCCATTCCGCTCTCCTAGTATTTCTTGTTTCCACTCCCCTGGTCTTGTGCTCGCAGACCTCAGATCGCAAGAACTTCATACTTCGATTTCGTTGGCTGGGAAGCTAGTCTCTACTTTCCTTTCCTTGACTCGATTTACTACACATCCCGGGCTGTATCCCCAGGTAATTCTTGTCCTGACCGCGATTTCTATCATTCGAGGTAATGCCATTCGTCACTCTATAACATGAACTCCATTGCAACATTTATGCCATATCCCTACTAACGTGGCTTTATCTGAA